CCCTTAAAGATGGGATGTACGAAATCGTAATATCACCGGTTTAACATCGAAATCCGTGAGTAATATAAAATCGGAGAGCGGAATAAATATATCAAATATTTTAATAGATTTTTTTAACTCCCGTCAACTATATAGAACTATCGTAAAAACGTACCAATAAATTCTTATCGGTTGGGTTAAGTTATAACTCTACTCGTTATTCACGTAATCGAAATATCTAGTGGGCAGGCGGCTAACAGCCCAGAACCGGTCCTTGATAGAATTGGAATCTTTATATGTGTGCAGCTTTCACCCAAGGTCGTAGGCTTCCACCGGCTAAACCGGGTGAGGTTGGTGCTCTGTAAAGTGCATGCGCAAATCTGGCTTTTCGTAATCTGAAAGTACAGGAGATTCCACTCCGCCACTAATATTCTAATATACAATAACAATTTTTTTTCACGTGTAGTATAGAAATTTGTAATAAGATACATAATGCGGTTGTAATAAAATATTGTGCGATTATTTTCATATAATTAAAATTAATATTTATTTATTTTTAGAGAATACGAGGGAAGCGGCGCTTCCAACGCTTCTAATGACGGCACGCCACTGCTGTAAACCAATAATTGGGCTAACTTATAACTGTTTTGTATCAGCACCTGTATTACACCTGTCAACATTGATAATGCTTACTGCTCATACAGTTATTGCGGCATTTTCATCTTCACATTGTATATAGGCATAGTTTAAGTTTATCTTGTATAATTTTTAAGTACTGTATATTAAAACCTTTAGTTAATACCATCTGATGAGGAACTATTTTCTATTAGAAAATAGTCCGAAATGCATTTTGTGTTTTTCATTTCCATTCTTATGTAGTCATTTTTATTGTACAGTACACCCTTTTTTGTTTTTATTAAATATTTATACTTTGATTCCTGAGGGTTTGTGCCCATTATCATTGATGTGATAAGCTCTTACTATTATCTGCCTCATGTTTGTAAATATTTTAATTAATTTAATTATACCGAGGGCTAAAAGCAAGTTTTGTAATAATTTCGTTATTTATAGGGTAGTTAGAACAGTGAATGACTGGCTTTAGTGAATGACCATATTGTGAGAAATTTGTTTAAAATAAGCTCCACGGCAAAGAAAGGCCAACCAGAAGCGTTGAATTACTGAAAATCAACTACATTTTGAAATATTCTCATTTATTGATCTTTCAGAAACGCGTGATAGTGTTTGAAATATGGCAGATTTCTTGAGATGTGTGTAAGGTTTAATCCTGCTTGCATTGTAATAAGGTAAGAACTGTGACAAGACTTCTTTCAATATGGCCCAGAGAAACAAAAAGGTTGGACACCCCTGATCTAAAGCATATAAGAACTTTTATGACATTGCATCAGGACAAGAAAAACTGTATCAGTTTTGTGTAATTTTTCTGCAAGTGGACAGTCAGTGGATCCTATGATAATTGACCCGCTAGATGTCGGGCGTTTTGTTTTTAGTATTTTATTGTTAATATTTAATGTTTAATATTATTATTGTAGAGAGTTGGCAACCACGAGAAGATGGTGTTAAGTTCCAAAAGTGCGGGAACATAGCGGAATGATCTTCCAATCGAATTATTGTAAATAGTTGATTTGTTGTTTTGTGGGGATAAAATCTAAACACAGATTTAGTGGACTTTTCTTGGTTGGAGATACGACGGGAACCTGGCGTACGAACAAGATGGGTCAGGTGAGACTTACGAAAATTAATTAATCATTACACGAGACTAGGATCGGCCTGACGCGACAATAATGTTCCCATACAAGAGAATTTCAAGGGATATTGTAGATTCAGTTTCAGATGGTTTTGCTGTATGCAAAAATGATTCGGGATGGATGATAAGTGCCACATTTTATGAATATGTTGAAATGTCTTTTATCTCTGGCTTCTGGATAAGAATATCAGAAAATACAAACAACAATCATCAAAATCAGTTTACAAAACTAACTTTGCAGCTTTATACTTTGAAGCTTACAAGAAAGCTTTGAAATTAGAAACAATTCAACATGTGGTATGTTTCCTTTTGAACCAAATAAGATGGATTATTCAAAATGTATTTCTACTAAGCGTAAGTAATTGTTTCCCGAAAATGAACATAATTTATCAATTAATTATGGTAAACCATATAAATGTGTACTGCAAATGATAGAAAATGAGATTCCAGTTAATTTGTTATCAGATTTCAAGGAAGCCATTGCATTTGATAACAATCAGATAATTTTAGAAAATTATTATTGCAGTATTTTCTATTGTATAAGTAACAAATGTATATATTTACTTATGGTGCGGTTTTTATATTTCTTTAAAAAAATCAATTTTTAAAAATTCTTAAAAAATTAAAAAACTTCAAGGGATAGTACTGAATACCGCCGTCGTTTTTTTTATCTATAACCGCATTTTATCAGAGACAAAAACTACTAAGGATTACAATTGTTAGTCTTTATTACACAATGCATTTCGGGTGCAAAATTTTGTTTACTTGCACCCCTCTTCAGGTAATACATATCTACAATCGGTAAACGTACAGATGTTACAAAAATTATTGTAAACAACGGTGGTATTCAGTATTAACCCTTGAAGTTTTTTTAATTTTTTAAGAATTTTTTAGAAATTGATTTTTTTAAAGAAGTATTTCCTATCTATGAAATACATTTTTGTATGGATTATCAAACTGATAATTTCTATAACATTGTATATATGATATTTTTGAATTAAAGATCTTTTTTAAATACCGTACTTACTCGGATATAAGATGATCTCGCATGTAGGACGATGTGTGATTTTAGAGATGAAAATAAAGTAAAATTGCCAATATATATATATAATATATATATATATATATATTATATATATAGTATCTTGTTTTTTCCTATAAAAATTAAAATAGTTAATTATAAAGTAGAGATTAAAATTCATTTTAAAACATACTTTTATACAAAATATTATCTTTTGTCAATGATTTAATGTATTTAATCGAAATATACGCAGCAATAATCATGTTGCAGACAGAATGAGAAATAAGTAAACAACAAGTCAAATCAGTGTGTGCATACTTGCCTGCGCGGCACATAAATTCTTGTGCGCGGCAACAATTTGAGCAGTGTGCGGCTGCACAGCTTAGAGGGAACATTGAATAGTACAGTGGTACCTCAGGATACGAAATTAATCCGTTCCGAAACTGAGATCGTATCATGAAAATGTCGTAAGGTGAATCAACTTTTCCCATACGATTACATGTAAAACCAAATAATTCGTTCCAACGCGAAAAACATACTCAAATTAAAGCCAAGTAATACATTTAAAAAAATAACTGTAGTAAGGAAAACAAATGAAAAATGCGAACTAATGTAACGTCGTATGGTGAGTTTTTGTTCGTATCGTGAAGCAAAAATATGTTCGAATTTCATGTCGTATCCTGAAAATTTCGTATGCTGGGGCGTTCGTATCCTGAGGTACCACTGTA